AAGGCAGCACAGCAGTAAGTTCTCCCCGCGGTTGTGTACATTGCACAGACATTCCTACTGCCCTGCCAGGATCCTGGGCTGTACCACCACAGCTCGTTGTGGACTGCACCATGATAAATAACTGGTGGCCAGGCATCAGGAGGTTTGGGCTCAGAGCCTGCCTTGGGATTCACTGTGCACTGTTCCACAAAAACAAATGGCATTCTCTCATGGCCACCAGTTGTTTCCCATATGGAAATTCCATCCCAGTACGATTACAGAACAAGGAAATAGGATGTTGGCATTGGTCAGGTTCTGATCATTAGTCAGTGATGGAGTGTTCTGCTGATCAGTGTTAACAGAACAACGTCTGATTTAGCATTTGAAAAACACATTTGAAACATTTTAAGCTATCGCGATGGACGACACTTTGCTTGCATAAGGATCCTTGTGTTAGAACAAGTTTCCACTGAGGTAGAGAGGGAAAATAAATGTTGATGCGTTTGGCACAGGGACTGGGCATTATGGGTGGTATGGAGTTGAGCAAGTTGGCAAACTGTGTTCCTTTTGCCTGAGGAACTAATGCTTGATTGAGCCCAGACAACTGAATGCAAGCCTTCTTTCTTTCCCTCTCCCTCCCTCAGACCCCCACTTACTCTCTCACACCACCACCCCCCCCCGTACCTCTCTCTCAACCCCCCCACTCCCCTCTCTCACACATTGCCCCCCCCCACCCCGCCCTCCCCCACTCCCCTCTCTCACATCCCCTAACTTCAAAATTCACAAGGGTCCCATGGGGACAATCACAAGTCAGTCCATAAACCAGCACTTAGTGAGTGCATACTCCGAGATTGATGGATTATTGCTGTGAGACATGTAGGTGTAACATGGCAGAGTTGGGGAGCTTGTAATTAAGACACAACTACTTACATCTGATCATGTTGTAGGTGATCTGTAAGAGGAACTGCCTTATGTTGACTTTCACTGTGGAGGGTCTGGAGGCCACTTTATTATTCCGCTTCTGTGAATTGTCTGTGCAGTCTTGGCATATTTCCACTCTGCATTTACACAGCGCCTTTGAAGTAATAAAACAGCAGGGCATGTTTTTGGAAACCAGTCGGTTTGGCTGAGTGACAATGCCTGAAGACTGGAGTCGATGCCTCTGTGGATATCAGGCTTTTTATTGAGCATGCCGAATAGCTTGCCTGTTACTGCAGCAACAATCTGGGAATAAAGTGTTCATGGTGGGGAGCAAGTGTTTGATTCAATCACCGTTTTTTTAAAACCTCTGTGGTTGGCACATTGCTGTTGCTAGTCAAAGTGGACTAAGCGGTTGATTGATTTTATTGTCACGTGCTCCGAAATACAGTGAAAACCTTTGTTTATGAGCAGTACAGGCAGGTCACAGCAAGCAAAGGATGTACAGATCAAAAAGACGTAGAGGCGTACAGGTTACGTTATTTGAGGCTAGAGTCCATTCAACAGTCTGATAACTGCTGTAAAGAAGCAGTTCCTGAACCTGTTTGTGCGTGTGTTCAGGCTTCTGTATCTTCTGCTTGACAGAGGTTGTAGGAGATAATTACCAGGGTGCGATGGGTCTTTGATGTTGGTCATCTTTCTGTGGCAGTGAGCTGTGTAAATGGAGTCCATGATGGGAGGTTGGCTTCTGTGATGGTCTGGGCTACGCACACCACCTTCTGTAGTTTCTTATGGTCCTGGGCAGAGCAGTTGCCATACCAGGCCATTATGCACCCGGACAGCATGCTTTCTATGGTGCATGATAATCATCCACATTTATAAAAAAGAAACTCTTGCCTCACATTCCTGAAAAATAATTCCTTGAAATAAGCGATGGACTCCTTTCAAACATTCCGGAGACTAATATTCACACTCTTCTGATTGGGAATTCGACACTGAAGTGCATAAAAATTCATCTTCCACACTGTTTGGATGATCACTTTGTTCCTCAGGTCAGCGATAATCAGCTCTTGAGTTTACATCCCATTCCAGAGTTCAATGGACTGGAAAGCTGCATTTTCACACCCTCACCAAACAGGTTAATTATTGCCTGTAAATTGTTCCAGAAGGGCAGCTGGTAGGAATGGCAGTGTCTCCACATCAGCCATGCCTGTTGCGGAGGGCCTGCATCTCAACCTGTAGACTCAGGTGTCAGGCTGACAACCAGTTTCAGCAAAACCAAAGCCATGAAAACTGACAGAAGATGTGCCTCTCGGACTCAGATACCACTCGGGATGGGCAGGATGCTGAAGAATAAAGGTAACACCACCAGTGTTGGAGGCCTCTGTTCTCCCTTCCTGTGTAATGCTTGATGATCCTTAGAATTTGAAATAGGTTTGATAGCATCCTTTGAAAGTGTACTTGCTCTGAAATATTTTGCTCACTATGTGTATATTGTGGCAAAGGGGCAGAGCGGTAGGTAATTGGGTTGCTAATGCCAGCGCCAAGCTTTGACCTATAAGTGAAATGACTACCTTTTTGTGTTTTGGTTTCTAAGCTTACAGTTGTAGAGTTCCTACAGTGTGGGAACAGGCCATTCGGCCCAACAAGTCCACACTGCCCCTCTGAAGAGCATCCCACCAGACTCATTCCCCATGTCTAACCCATATAACCTAAACATCGCTGAACACTATGTGCAATTTAGCATGTCGATAGAACATAGAACAGTACAGCACAGTACAGGCCCTTCGGCCCACGATGTTGTGCTAAACTTTTACTCTAATCCTGAGGTCTATCTAACCTCCACCCCTACCTTATACTATCATCCATATGCCTGTCTAATAGCCGCTTAAATGCCCCTAATGAGGCCGATTCCACTACCCTCTCCGGCAATGCATTCCACGCCCTGACCATTCTCTGAGTAAAGAACCTACCTCTGACGTCTCCCCTGTATATGCCTCCACTCACTTTAAAACTATGCCCCCTCGTAATAGCTACCTCCACCCTAGGAAAAAGTCTCTGACTGTCCACTCTATCTATACCTCTGATCATTTTGTACACCTCTATCAAGTCACCTCTCATCCTTTGTCGTTCTAAAGAGAAAAGCCCTTGCTCTCTCAACCTTTCCTCATAAGACCTTCCCTCCATTCCACGCAACATCCTGGTAAATCTCCTCTGCACCTTTTCCAATGCTTCCACATCTCTTCTGTAATGAGGTGACCCAGAACTGGACACAGTACTCCAGATGTGGCTGAACCAGGCTTTTGCATAGCTGGAGCATAACTTCATGGCTAATCCTCCTAGCCTGCACATTTTTGGCCTAAGGGAGGAAACCGGAGCATCCGGAGGAAACCCATATAGACACGGGGAGAATGTGCAAACTCCACACAGACAATTGCTTGAGGGTAGAATTTTACCCAGGTCCCTGGCGTTGTGAGGCAGCAGTGCTAACCACTGAGCCACATGCCGCCCTAATGTCTATCTCTCTGTCCTGTGATTTCACGATTAAACCTTATTTGAGGAGGCAGGGATGAATCAGTCAGTTCATGGTTGCTATCAGATGCAGCTATTTTGACTCAGTCTCTGTAGTGTCATTGGACTTGAGCGATTTTTTTTTTTTGTTTCTACAAAACTTTAAACTTGTTTTGTTTAAAAGAACTGCTCCTAGATATTGACCTTTTAACCTTTTCTTCAAGTTAAAGCATTTTTCCTTGTATTTTCTAGCTAGGAATCCTTATCTTGTATGAAAAACGACAAATCAGGAATCGATGTTTGAAATAATATAGTCTCCTGTGCACTACATTACTAGTCTACATTGCCATCTTATTGGTGGACTGAATCATTTGGCCATGGTTAAAAAGTTTACTTTTGGGAAGCAATGAGATTGTAGCAATCCCACAGAAGTGTAACGTTTGTTTCCCAGTCAGGAAAGCCCTTTTTTTTTCAACAAAACAACACTTTTTTAAAAAGAAAACAAGTCTACATTGCAACAGCTCTTTGGCAACTCGAGACTCTGTTTGAGACTGAAAGTAGACTACGTTGGTGAAGAAACACTCCACTCTGATTCTCCTTCCGTCCCTTGGACTAAACTATTGCCTTCCAAGCCATTACTTTAGCTTATCCGAAAACCATTGTAGAAGGATTCCCTGTGAGCCTGATGGGGATCACAGTATAAATACTCCTTCTGTGACTGCCAGAATTCTACTCTGAAACTAGACCCTGCCTGGTCCACTTACAAGGCTAGGGGTCATGACTGGATAGGAAAAAAGGTTATCGGGGTCACATGGCAAGAAATTGCAGACAATTGTGAACACAGACCAGTCCATCACTCAAACCATTCATTGACTCTGTCTATACCTCCCGCTGCCTCGAGAAAGCAGCCAACATAAAGACCCCTCCCACCTCTTCCATCAGGCAGAAGATGCGAAAGTTGAAAAGTTTGAACAGCTTCTTCTCTGCTGTTAGATTTATGAATGGACCTGTCATATTAGAGTTGATCTTTCTCTGCACCTTCTCTGTAGCTGTAACACAATATTCTGCATACGCATCCTGGTGTACTTGCATAAGATATGACCTGCCTGCATAGCATGCAAAACAATACTTTTCACTGTATCTCGGTACATGTGATAATGAATCAAATCATTATGAAGGAATGAAGTTAATGAAAATCATTTCTGTAGACTGTATAATGGATCAGCCCCTTGAATAAAAAATAAGATGCTGTCTTGTGGGCATTTATTGATATCTGCAAGTTATTTCCTCGTGTCTGTCGTGATCAATTGAGGAGCTGGAAGTATAAAAATAGGACATAAGCTCATGACCAATAGTTTAATGTTCACGAAAGGAGACTCTCTTTGACTGTGCATTTTTTATGTTGTATTGTCCTAATTTTCCTGTGTGTACTAGAGCATAATCACTGTGACTGCAGAACAAACATTGCACAGGGAGCCCTTGCTGAGCTGGGGAGCTATTTGAAATTATCGTGAGGTAAATCTTCAATAGTGGGTGTTTCACTGCTCTCTGTTTAATTGGACTTTTTCTTTCTCCCCCTTTCTTGTTCTCAGTTGGTGATAAAGTTCCTGCTGACATTCGGATTATCAGCATCAAGTCGACGACCCTCCGAGTTGATCAGTCCATCCTCACAGGTGAGAATTTCACAGGATGTGGAACTCAGTCCAGAATCCACTCAGTTCATCAGATGTGACCACCCTTATCTGAATCAAAAAGGCTAGTTTGTCGAATATATGTATCTCAACTTCATTGCTGTGGTCTGGGCACTGGCCTGGATCAGTTCAATTATATTGACCTAATGAAGGATTCATGCATAATGTTATAGGTATCCTTGGATATTTCAATATTCAGTTCCATTTTCTGTGCTGGCAGTATCCTGCTTTGTATTTGGTGTTGAATGAATTGTATCACGTCAAAGATCAGGGAGTGAAAAGGAGTGTTTCTTGATACAAGTAGTTTTCCTGCTTATTCCAACATACTCTGAGCTTGGTTTTACAACCCTCTGACACTGGCATGGAGCTCAGTTTTACAAACTGCCTCCATCCCATCCCATCCGTAATCTGCCTGACCTATCCCAGAATGTTCCCAGCAGTGGGGGAGGCATCTGGAGCTCCTCCCACTCACCCACCTACCTCTACTCAAGACTCTGGAGGGGGAAGTAACATCAAACGTGTCTCTGTTAGGTCATGGGATGTAGGCAACACTAGCAAAGTCAGCATTTGTTACCCATTGCTTTTGAACTGAGTGGCTTGCTGTGCTATTTCAGAGGGCAATTAAGAGTCACCCACATTGTTGTGGGCCTGGAGTCACATGTAGGTCAGACCAGATAAGGATGGAAGATTTCTTTCCCTAAAGGAGTTTAGTGAGTCAGGTTTTTTTTTATAACAATTGATAGTTAGTATGTTCACCATTACTGAGATTAGCTATATATTCTGGATTTATTAATTGAATTTAAATTCCATCAGCTGCCTTGGTGGGGTTTGAACCCACATCCACAGACCATTGCCCAGAGCCCTCTAGATTGCTAGCCCAGTGACTGAAGCAAAGTAACATCTCCACAAACTCCTTGTTATCTGCCAATCCATGTACTTGGAAGGTCATTCCCAAATCCATCATTTTATTTTCCCATTGTCTCATTCAGAGAAGTACATAGGTGTGGTATATTGTGTTTTATTATCCATGGAGGTCTGTGCCCCTGTCCCTTACTGGTAATGAATGAGGACCTAATGGACCATTTTCCTTTCCATTTTGACCTGCTCAGCTTGCTATCCATGGAATTGACTGAAGCAACTTCTTTTTGTCAGAGTGCTGGGTGTTAACTGGAGATAGCATCATGAATTTCTGGCAAGACTTGGTGACGGAGAGTGTCTATAAGACATAGGAGCAGAAATTAGGCCATTCAGCCCATTGAGTCCGCTCTGCCATTCAATCATGGCGGATAAATATCTCAACCCCATTCTCCCACTTTCTCCCCATAACCCTTCATCCCCATGACCATCAAGAACCTATTTATCTCAGTCTTAAATATACTCAATGACCTGGCCTCCACAGCCTTCTGTGGCAGTGAATTCCATAGATTCACCACTCTCTGGCTGAAGAAGTTTCTCCTTATCTCCATTCTAAAAGGTCTTCCCTTTACTCTAAGGCTGTGCCCTCGGGTCCTAGCCTCTCCTACCCATGGAAACATCTTCCCAACATCCACTCTGTCCAAGCCATTCAGTATTCTGTAAGTTTCAATTAGATCCCCCCTCATTCTTCTAAACTCCATCAAGAATAGACCAAGAGTCCTCAAACATTCCTTATATGTTAAGCTTTTCATCCCTGGGACCATTCTTGTGAACCTCCTCTGAACCGGCACCAGGGCCAGTATGTCTTTCCTGAGATATGCGCACAATACTCCAAATGTGGCCTGACCAGAGCCTTATAGTGCATGACCTTACACTTTCCCACATTGTACTCCATCTGCCACTTCTTTGCCCATTCTCCTAACCTGTCCAAATCCTTCTGCAACCTCCCCACCTCCTCAATACTACCTGTCCCTCCACCTATCTTTGTATCATCTGCAAACTTAGTCAGAATGCCCACAGTTCCTTCATATAGATCATTAATGTATAAAGTGAAAAGTTGTGGTCCCAGCACTGACCCTTGTGGAACACCACTTGTCACTGGCTGCCATCCTGATAAAGACCCTTTTAACCCCACTCTTTACTTTCTGCCAGACAGCCAATCTTCTATCCATGCTCGTACCTTGTCTCTAACACCACGGGCCCTTATCTTACCCAGCAGCCTCCTATGTGGCATCTTGTCAAAGGCCTTCTTGAAGTCCAAGTAAATAACATCCATTGGCTCTCCCTGGTCTAACCTGCTTGTTACTTCCTTAAAGAATTCTAACAGATTTGTTAGCCATGACCTCCCCTTGATGAAGCCATGCTGACGTTGCCCTATTTTACCATGCACTTCCAAGTATTCAGAAATCTCATCCTTCACAATGAACTCCAAAATCTTACCCATGTCAAGCAATGGCATACTGTTCAAGGAATGTGTAGCTGAATGTGAGGGAGTTCCATTATTTAATATCAGCCTGGTGACTCTGGTAAATAATGAGTAGATACATGTCTTAAACATTCCAGGACATTGTAATTAAATTGACATTTCTCAGAGTCCATATTACTGGCTGGAGTATTTTTGATTTATCACACAGCATTGTTGTGTTCACAAAGAAGCCTATATTTGTGGAGATCTGGAGGAAAATGTCAGGCCAGTGCTTGTGTTGTTGTACCACCTGTGTTACCGCACAAAACACCCCATTTCTGAGACAACAAGGTGTAGAGCTGGATGAACACAGCAGGCCAAGCAGCCTTCATCCAGCTCTGTACCTTGTTATCTCAGATTCTCCAGCATCTGCAGTTCCTACCATTTCTGAGACACTCTGCTAGATAGTTACATTTTGATTAATGGAGTTTAGCAACTGATGTCTGATACATGAGCCAAGATTGTTAGAGTAAGGGAAGTCAGTTCCCAGGTACGAGAGGCTGGATAGGACTTTGGCAAACAAACTGATCTGATTTGGTTCCACATTAAAAAGACATGATTTCCCCTTTGTGTCCTTCATTCACACCACCTGGAACCACCACCAACCCCTCCCCCCAGGCCCCCTTGTGTTTTTTTGGACAATGGGAAAGCAGAGATAGCAGCATCTTTTTCCTGTTGGAAGGAGCTCCAAGCAATATCACCTACATAATGAGGTCACTGTTTGGCATGTAAAGAGTTTGGCACAGTAGCAACATCAGTCTGAACCTGGGAGCTGCTTGTTTTCTTAGTGACGGGTGGAAAATAAACGATGGCAGGTCTAATGGTTCAGAATAATTCACTGAGCAGTGAGTTGCATTATCCTTGCTTCAACTAGACAGAGTACTTCTTTGCTAATTCTTTATTGCATTTCTCAGGCTGACATGGCAAAAGAAACTTGTGTCAAAAATCTGGTTGAGTGTTTTTGGCGCAAATTGCAAGAGTAAAGGGGATTGGCATGCCAAGAAAGGTCATGTAGTTTAGGAGCTCCTTTCTCCGCTGTCCTCCACTTGGAAGACTTGGAATCCAAAATCTACTTCCTGATTTAATATATTCATTCATGGTATGTAGGCAACACTGGCCACGCCAGCATTTATTAGTTATTCCTAATTGCCCAGAGGGCAGATAAAATATCAACCACATAGCCACCATTAGACTCCTAATTCCACATATATTATTGAATTGAAATTCCACCATTTGCCATGGCAGGATTTGAATTTGGATCCCCAGAACATTACTAGGGTCTCTGGATTAATATTCCAGTGATAATACCACTAGACCGTTGCCTCTCCCCTAATACTTGTCACCTTTAGGTTAAGGGAGCTGATCTATTTCGTCAGCATTAGCTCCTGAGTCAAAGCCAGGCTCTGAATAATTGTCCAATTAAACTGACAAGGCTCCTTCAACAGTCCAAATCAATGGTCAATACCATCTGGAAGGACAAGGGCAGAAGGCACATGGGAACACAGCCCCCTGACAGTTCCCCCCTGGGTGACACACCATCCTGCCTTTAGCTATATTGCCAGTCCTTCAGCATTGCTGGGTCAAAACCCTGGAACTCACTCCCTCCCAGAACAGTGGGTGGGCCTTAAACCAAATAGACTGCAATGATTCAAAAGGGAAGTTCACCACCACCTTCTCCAGGACAATTAGGGATGGGCAACAGACAGTGGCCAAGGATAGAAAACCCATCAAGCAACGTAGATCAAAAAAAAAATTCCCTGCATCAACACCTAACTGATTACTTAGGATGGGCACTTTGCAACCAGTCTGTTACTGCTGAAGTGTAACAGTGTTATGAGCATAAAGAGGAAATTAATTAGCACGTTGTTGGTTTCTGGTGGTGTTGGAAGGTTATTGGAATTCGAAATGTCCATTTAATCCTTATTGTAATGTCTTCTATGAAAGACAGCTCCAATGATTTAGCACACTGTCTCGGTAGCATATTTGTGTCAGACTTGGTTACACACTCAAGTGGCATTTGAGCTCATTTGCATCTGATGTCACCATGAGATGCCTGTAAAGTTAAACCAAGCTGATGCAATGCAGGCAGGAAATATCCTTTCCCATAATCCTGAGACTGAACTTTGCCAATTCCCATTGTTCGCCCACCCCCCAAACCTGTTCTGCAATGTTATTGCCATCCTGGAGCAGATGGGACTTGAACCCAGGCCTCCTGGCTCAGAGATAGGGACACTACCACTGCACCACAAGAGCCCCCACACTGCAGATTTTGCCTTGACCACTGACCGCGGCATTCATCTTTCATAACTCCTGACCTTCACAGAATAATTGCACAATAATTCTCAAAATTCCATTCAGAACACAAGAAATAAAAACTGGAGGGAGAGGCAGAATGGGGAAAAGTTTTAATCTCCGACAGAACCCTCCGGCTGAGAGGGTTCAACATGCCTCCAGTTTCTAACAGTAATGAGATGGAGGAGCATGGAATAAAAGTCATAACTGAGATGACAAAAGAAGTTCTGCTGTAAATGAGTTTTGTAATGGAGCTAAGTAATTCTCCATGTTGGGGTATGGTTCACTCAGGTTAAACTGTCACAGGTTAAACTGACAGTGAATGTGAACCCTGATGAAACATGTAAAAATAAGATTGGAGAGATTTTTGCTTAAACACAAATGTTTGATTAAATGGAATAAGGAAAGGGAAGACATTCGATGAGTTCCAATGCTCTCAATCACTGTCTGAGCTTGATGGGATAATTGGTCTTTTCTTGCTCAAAACACCCTTTGATTTGATCTTGATCTCTGTCTATGACTATCCTGTCTGGTCATGGGGTTTGTCTGTAAGTTTGTGTAGATTCATAAAAACCTTTAGCAGAACACTAGCTTTAAGTTGTCATTCTATCTCCAAGATAACACCTGAATATGAGTGGTAGGGTGACTGGAGTATGTTGTTGGGCCAGTGTGGAGTGTGTCGCACTCAGAGTGTACCTGATCTCGATGCTGACATTCAGCAGTTAACATGGGACCAGTATTTCCTTTCCCAGAATGAATGACTCTTGGTCATGTAAGGCAAAACAAAACCGTAAATTGTAGTTAGGTGAGTCAATGAAAAGAAATGCAAATATAGCATAGGTTACTCAAGTAAGCTTCCTACTGTCCATTGTTCTGCTGGTACCGTATTGTGAAACTTTCTTGAGAAAGCTTGCTTTGTGAGGTGGGAGGAGTGTGTTGTAACTTCAGCAAGAATGCCAACAATATTTAGTGCAAAGGTTCTAAGAAGTGAGAAGCTCTTTTATTTGCCAACTGCAAAGCCAAAGGTGAGAATGTTAATAGGCAGAACTCGTTCTCCAACATTTCCAATTGGAAGTTGTTTGTCGATCTGTGCCTGGTTTTAGATTTACTGTGACTTTAGATTGTGTGTTCTGATGGGTTGTTCTGGAATTAACATCAAGAAATTACCTATTAATTCCTAATACTCCTCATTCAGGAATTTGTCTATTAAAGTATGAATTTACACATATGTTCTTCTGCTCTTTAACACAGCACCCTTTTGGAAGTATCAAATTGACGGAAGCATTACCCTCCCTGTGCTCCTGTGACTAGTTCTTATTGTTAGTCAAATTCACGTCTCCATTTGTGATGGCACTCTTACTGCTGCTGGGTTTTAGTCACATGGAGTCTGCAGTGGTTGTTACGCTTGTTCCCTAGATAGCCCCTCCAGATTAATGCTGTTCTCTCCGTCTCTCTGATTTCTATGTTTCATGCTTCCTAACTTTAACTCTCTGGTTTCCGTGTCTAGGGGAATCAGTCTCTGTTATCAAGCACAGCGACCCTGTACCAGACCCTCGAGCTGTGAACCAGGACAAGAAGAACATGTTGTTTTCGGTAAGTAGTGACAGCACCCCGTGATCAACCCATTTTTGTTCACGTAACAACAGGAAGAGCTCCCTTGTGCATCACGCACCGAGCTTGTTTTCCAAAGTGGGAACTTGCTCAGTGGATCCCTTTGTTGTTGAGGCTGTCGATGGGACAGCCTACTGAAAGCAGCTGATTGTGTGTCCAGCCAGATGCGTGGTACATTGACAGTACTCAATGTGAAGGAATACAGAGGAGTCTGGCATGGTCTTAATGCAGGTGCAGTCTATTCTGTCCAGTGTGGAAATGGTGGCCAAATCCATCTGTATACTTTTATTCTTTATCCATTTATTGGGTATGGCCATCTCTGGCTAGGCCAGCAGTCATTGCACATCCCTAATTACCCTTGAACTGAGTGGCTCATTTTAGAGTGTAGATCAGAATCAACCGGTTATCAATCATACTGGGTAAAGGTGGCAAATTTCCTTCTGTGCAGGACATTACTGACTCAGGATTTTAGAAGCCATATCAATGGACATGGTCACCAATGACAGTAGTTTATAATTCCAGACTGATTAGTTGAATTTAAGTTCCACCAGCTGTCATTGGTGAGATTTGAATGCACATCCCCAGACCATTAAGTTGCTACAGCAGTGACAGGACTATCACACTCCCATCTCCCTCTAAGAAAGAACCAGGAAGCGGTGTCTCCTGTTGAAGACAGCAGGCCAAGCAGCATCATAGGAGCAGGAAGGCTGACGTTTTGGGCCTAGACCCTTCATCAGAAATCTAGGCCCGAAACGTCAGCCTTCCTGCTCCTCTGATGCTGCTTGACCTGCTGTGTTCATCCAGCTCTAACCTTGTTATCTCAGATTCTCCAGCATCTGCAGTTCCTACTATCTCTCCTGTTGAAGCTTCTATTTGTAGCCACCCAACATCGAAGTCTTTGTAAGACATTGTCATTGCTGGCTAAGCCATCCTTTACTGCCGACCCTTAATTACCCTTGAAACTAAGTGGCCCATGTGGGAGTCACTGGCTCAGCAGCACTTATTGTTCACTTCTGATTATTGTCCATTAAAGGTCAACCACATTACTGTGGATCTGCAGTCATGTGTGTGACAGATTTCTTTCTCTAAAGCCCATCAGTGAACCAGATGAGTTTTTACTACAGTGGCTCTGTGGTTGCCATTAGACTAGTCTATTTCCAGATATTATTGTGTTCAACAACCATCTGCCACAAAGGGGATTTGAATCCATGTCCTTGGGCTATTTGCAGGTGCAACAGGTAATTGAGAAGGCAAATGGAATTTTGTCCTTCATTGCTAGAAGGATTGAATTTAAAAGCAGGGAGGTTGTGTTACAGCTGTATAGGGTGCTGGTAGGGACACACCTGGAGTTCTCCGTGCAGTTTTAGTCTCCTTTACTTGAGAAAAGATGTACTGGCACTGGAGGGGATACAGAGGAGGTTCACTGGGTTGATTCTGGAGTTGAGGGTTGGCTTATGAGGAGAGACTAAGTAGACTGGGATTATATGCAATGGAATTTAGAAGAATTGGGGGGGATTTCATAGAACTATGTAAAATGATGAAGGGAATAGATAAGATAGAAGCAGGGAGGTTGTTTCCACTGGCAGATGAAACTAGAACTGGGGGTATAGCCTCAAAATTAGGGGGAGCAGATTTAGGACTGAGTTGAGGAGGAACTTCTTCATCCAAAGGGTTGTGAATCTGTGGAATTCCCTGCCCAGCGAAGCAGTTGAGGTTTCCTCGTTGAGTGTATTTAAGGCAAAGATAGATTTTTGAACAGTAAAATAATTAAGGGTTATGCGGAGTGGGCGGGTAAGTGGAGCTGAGTCCATGAAAAGATCAGCCATGATCTTATAGAGTGGCAGAGCAGGCTCGATGGGCCAGAAGGCCTTCATATTTCTTACCTTTTTATGTTAGCTGGGGTTCTGGATTCACTAGTGCACTGACATTTATGGCTACTGCCTCCCCATATATAATCAGGCAGCTGCCATCGGATTGTGTAAACCAGCTTGCAGCAATCTATTTGCTCCACAGCACACCACACTCCTCATTCATGGACTGGCATCCTTAATTGCCCAGAGGGTAGTTAAGAGTCAACCACATTGCTGTGTGTATGGAGTCATATGTAGGATAGACCCAGGTAATGTTGGCAGTTCCTGTCCCAAAAGGATATTGGTCAGCTAGGTAGGTTTTTATAACAATTGACAATGGTTACCGTTAAACTAGTTTTTAATTCCAGACTCTCTTGTTCAAATTTTACCATTTTCCATGGTGAGATTCAACTCCTGTCCGTAAAGCATTAGCCTGGGGTTCAGATATACAACTCGAATGACACTGCCATTATGTCAGTGCCTCCCCACCACACATGGGTAAAAGAACTACAAAAAGAAGGGACTAATTACCATAGATTAAGAAAATTCAAGTTAAAGAGAGGAACCGAGAATTATTTCTCCAGTTCCATAGGAAGTGCTCTCAAAAGTACAGAAAAAAACTACAAATGGAGATGGCAAGGGTGGGAGAGTGATGATGACCATCATAGAGTTATTGCAGCAAAAACAACGAGGTTTGAGTCATGGGTGTACTGAGGCATTCTGTTCAGCAAATAACAGATGGAGAATGCAATGTTTTGGTTTTGATTTGATTGATTATTGTCACATGTACCAAGATACAGTGAAAAGTATTGTTTTGTATGCTCACCAGACAAATCGTACCTTACATAAGTACATTATATTCTGCATTCTGTTCTATTACTTGTGTCACAGCTACAGAGAAGGCGCAGAGGAAGATCGGAGTTCATTGCAGGAGAATGAGAAGAGAATGTGGAGCTGTCTGATATTACAATCACAGCTTGACAGGTTTACATAGGCAGTTGCCTTATTATGGTGGAAATTGGAATTTATAATGGAAAAGATGGCAAAGTTTTACTTTACACTATTCATGCCATCTGTAGATAAATGGAAGGTTAAACTATTACTAAAGTGCAGACTGTGGCACGAAAGTTCAGCCAGCCTGAGAGAGATGTCAGATAACTTGCAATCTAGCAGATAGTTGGTAATCTTGATTATTGTGATGTGCCTGAAAGGTCTTTTCAATTCTTGGTTCAAATCGGATAAATAGATGGGGAAACCTTTGTAAGAGTGACCTCTGGCATTCAACACAAGCAAGTTATTTTTCTGGGCAAATTGAAATTGCTTTTCTGAAAGGAATGCATTGAGCATCTTTTGTAATTGAGATATACTGGAAATGACTATTGGTTTAAAGGGAATGGACTGTCTGAAGGGATTTGTGTTGTACAAAACATGCGTCATGTTTTACTGGAGTTGGCCCTGGTTGGAATGAAATGAAGCCACTGGAGGATGCAGCTGGTTTCCCCAGAGTCTGAAATGTACTGCAGTGACCTTGAGGGAGGAGATGGTGTCTACCATCCTGGCGCTCATTGGGAAATTTGAAGCTTTCCTTTAAACACTTCATGTTGCAGTTGTACAGGACATTGGTTAGGCCACTTTTGGAATACTGCACTCAATTCTGGTCTCCCTGCTATAGGAAAGATGTTGTTACCCTTGGAAGGGTGCGGAAAAGATTTACAAGGATCTTGCCAGGTTGGAGGGTTTGAGCTATAGAGTTAAGCTGAGTAGACTGGGGCTATTTTCCCTGAAGCCTTGGAGGCTGAGGGGTGACCGTATAGAGGTTTATTAAATCATGAGCATGGATAGGATGAATAGTCAAGATCTTTTTCGCGGGGTAGGAGAATCCATACTGAGAGAGCAGAGGTTTAAGGTGAGAGGAGAAGGATTTAAAAGAGACCTAAGGGGCAACTTTTTCACGCAGAGGGTGGTGCATGTATGGAAATGAGCTGAAAGAGGAGGTGATGGAGGCTGGTACAATTACAACATTTAAAAGGTATCTATTTAATATAGGAAGGGTTCAGAAGGATATGGGCCACATGCTGACAAATGGGACTAGATTAATTTCGGATACCTGGTCAGTGTAACCCTAACACTAATATCCCGTTGCCTAATGAAAGTTTACATAATACATTGAGTGCAAAGTGCTGTCTGAATTCAGTTTCACCTGTATGTTTCTTTTAAAAAAACAATTGCCAATCTCTCAAATCTTCACAAGCTCACTTCAGCTTTGCTTTTCTTCTCAGGGGACCAACATTGCGTCTGGGAAAGCAACTGGTATTGTCGTGGCTACAGGAGTCCACACAGAGATTGGCAAGATTCGAAACCAGATGGCATCCACGATAAATGAGAAGACTCCTCTCCAGCAGAAACTGGATGAGTTTGGGCAGCAGCTGTCAAAGGTGATATCCCTCATTTGTGTCGCTGTCTGGGTGATCAACATCGGGCACTTCAATGACCCCGTCCACGGTGGCTCGTGGATCCGTGGTGCCATCTACTACTTCAAAATAGCAGTGGCATTGGCTGTGGCCGCCATTCCTGAGGGGCTGCCTGCTGTCATTACCACCTGCCTGGCCCTAGGCACACGACGCATGGCGAAGAAGAATGCCATTGTAAGGAGCCTTCCATCAGTGGAGACACTAGGTTGCACGTCAATCATCTGCTCTGACAAGACTGGAACACTCACCACCAATCAGATGTCTGTCTGTAAGGTAAGACTGTAACAGATTGCATGCAACAGACCAATGGCTTATTGGATACTTGTTCATGACCAAGAGACAGATATTAGGTCTTTAGCTTGTCAGCACTGGCTCAACATCTTTAAACAAATATCTTTCCACTTTCCCGGGGGTTTTGAAGGACAAAATGTATCCTCAATCCCTGTATGTGTAGTGACCATATTCTACCACTCACTACAGCATTCTGGACTTTGATTACAGCTGTCAGCCATAGCTCTGTTGACAACGTTGTCATCCTTAAGTCAGCACATTGCCAGCTGATGTCCCAGACTAGAGACTTGAGCAACTTAATCTCGATTGCCGCGACAGTGTACTCACACAGGGATCGTCCTTCACGTGAGATTTTAAACCAACACCCCACCTTTGTTTTCGGTGTCTGTAAAAAGATCCCCATGGGGATCTCTGGATCTCAAACAGGGCAAAGGACGTGAACTCGGAGTTGTGAACTCGGAGTTTCGTACTCAGAGGCAGGAACCGCACCCGATGTCCTGCACGACCTCTGCAAAGAAATTTGAATAAATTTGTACCTGTTAGTTTAATGTAAAGTATGTCGTAGAGGACCTTAGCAAGGCTGAAGCAAATAGGGAAGTTGATGAGGTAAATAACTTAGCTGGGATCAAGTTTAGTTCTAACTACTTCGAGTATTATTGAGAGACATAAGTAAGATTTTTGAAAGTTTTGAGTCACAAGTTTGGTTATGAGATCATACGAACCTTATACTTTTTCCATTGTTTCAGTTTATTTATGGGCAGTTTGCTATGTACTATTTGATTGCCATGATTTGTAGTTTGAGCCAAAGAGAAACAATGGTGAGAATTTCTGAAGGTTGACCAGTTTGTTGCAGGTCAATGCATGTTCTAATCGATTGAACCTTCTCAAGTCTTGTGCTGGAGCACATTTAAAGTTTCAAAGCTGTTTCTAAAAAAAAAAATTGGCATCAATCAGTAAACTATTCCAGCAAATGTTAAATCAGAGGGAGCAGCATTAATCTCAGCAATTCAGTAGCTGTTACCAAAGAAATATTTATTTTCCAAGAGCGACTTATTCAGCTACAATCACCGCAAAGAGCACCTATAAAATAACTATTGATCATAATAGTTCTATTGCTGGGCTTGTGATCCAGACATTGAGATGAATAATGGAGGAAGTGGTGTCCCACAAAGATTGGTGTTTTGACAGACAGGATCAATGAGGCGATATGGATAACTCTGAGGAGACTTTAACGTGATGCAAGAAGACAATAAACATCGAGAATAGGTGGGCAAATCCTTTTGTCAGCTGTATAAGAAACCTGCATCCTCCTTGGAAATGTAAGTCTAGATGTGCTGTGCAAAAGGAAACTATGGTCAAAACATTCATAAATCATTAAAAGTAATAACACAAGCTATCAAGACCAATATAAAGTTTCCTATCCAAAAGCTAGAATTAAAAACAAGGGAGGATATTTTAATTTTTATTGAACTTTGGTTAGACCACTAAAATAAAAAAACTGTGGAAGCTGAAAATCTTTTTTTAAAAAAAAAAAAAAAAAAAATACTGAGCTGGTCTGGTAGCGACTTTGGCGAGTAACGTAGCTCATGTTTCAAGTTGAAAATGACCCTTCTTGTCCAAAGAGAAGTAATAACTCAAAACGTTAATGCTGTTTCTGTCTCTGAAGATGCTGCCAGCATTGTTTGGTTAGACCACACTGGGGACAGTTATGATCTCCACAACACAAACAGAGCATAGAGATAATAGAAGAGATTTACAGGAATATCCAAGAACTCTGAATTCGTAACAACTGAGAGATTACCCTTTCAAAAAGTTCTGAACAGCTGAGGATGCTAGAGTTTAGAGAATAAAATGTGGAGGGATGACCTAACAGAGGAACTTTAAAATGTTAGATAACAAGGTGTAGAGCTAGATGAACACAGCAGGCCAAGCAGCATCAGAGGAGCAGGAACGCTGACGTTTCGGGCCTAGACCCTTCAGCTCTACACCTTGTTATCTCAGATTCTCCAGCATCTGCAGTTCCTGCTATCTCTGAAACAACTTTTAAAATGTTGAGGTTTTTGACAGGCTGGCTTTACAGAAGTGAGGCACATTGTCCCATTTGAGGCAGGAATTGTGTGATTTCTTGGCATTGCTATCCAGTCTCTGATCAGGAGTGTTGTTCATGGTGGAGTGCTGAAGATGGGCCAGATTCCATACTCTTGATGCTCCTGAGGTAGACAGATGATAAAGTAAGCAGGTGGAAGGTTTTCCCCATGTCGTTTGGACATTAAACAAATTCTGGATCTGAGTATTTGGCATCCCAGCCCTCTTCCTCCCTCTCTCTGTACCAAATCCACTCAAACCCTTCATTAATGCCTTCCACCCAAGCCCCATCATCCTCCCATGTCTCTCACCCAACATCCATTTTAGGCTGAAGCCCTGTAATAAGATTGGGAAATCTTTTTAGATGTTTGTGAAGCTGTCAAAATAAGCAAACAACCAATCAAATTCATCTTTTAAAAAAATCCTCTTAAGAGCTCATCAAACTACCAATGGAACATGCAACCATTCAAACTCCCCTTGAAATAACCTTAATTCTATTAAATGGTTAAAAAAAAAACTGTCAAAATTAAAAAAAGCACCACTTAACAACCCCAACCTCCTTGAAAGCATAATATTCTGAAGATATCTCATCTATGAGGTAATAAAATAAATCCCTCACAACAAAACTGTTAAAATAAACAAAGCTCACAGTCTCCCTCTCAACTTTATCAGCAACCCCTGCTGAGCTCTATTAATAAGGCTTGAAGCTCAGCCAATTGTCTCCAAAGCCTGCAGAACATGTTAAAGCCATTGGAGTAGTGGAACAAGTGAGCTGGTTAGTCAGTCATGAAAAGATCAAAACATATGGTGCAACTGACATAAGAAAATCTGAATCTCCATTCTCATCAATGTAGAAGAGCACTTTAACCGTTGAATACATTAACCTATTGCATCCGAAGACTGTTCTACTTCCACAATGCTGGTCATTTTAATCGATCCTTTCCTCTTCTGAATGATACCATAACGTTGTGCAGCATTGCCTACTGTTACATGTAGTTAATAGCACCTTTTTAAATTCCCCAAACAAATGGTTCCTGACTCCAAAACAGGCTTCCTCCTCACTAGGACTCCAGGATTTGGAAAAAGAGCTATGTATCCTCCAGGAGCTGGCCTGACTTTCTGGAAATTGCGAGAGATCTGAAATCACCACCCCACCAATGGTGTGGCTGGCATTGGGTCAATGTGTGGAGGCTCATGACCTGTAAATACATATACCGGAGATGTGGAATTGACTCCTCCTCACATCTTATAATCCCCATTCAATGCAGGTTTTCCTCTCACTGTGATTGCAAGATTCCAAAAACGTTTATGTTAATGCGGGAGCCCAAAATTCAGAATCATAGCAGTTACTTATAAATTCACGAGAAACGTCTTTACTTGGAAAGAGATTAGAATGTGTAGCTTGCTACCAGGTGAAACAGTAAAGACTGAAGTCTTACAGGCCTTTTGGGAAAAGTTCCCTAAGTGCATGAGGGAAGAAGGAACAGAAGGATATTGCTAGTAGGGTAGAAGACGTGTAATGGAGGAGTCTCATGTGAGGTATAAACTAGAGTTTGCCTCTCATGCCTGTACTGGATGTTTTATGCAACATCAAATTCCAATTTGGCAGTTTGAAAATTTGAATTCCGTTTTGCAAATCTGAATATTAAAAAACATCATTAGTAAAAATGACCATGCATCTGTTAGATAGTCATTAAAAACCCACCAGTATCCTGCAGGGAAGGGAACTTGTTCTGCTGACTGGATTTGAGTTCTGTATATTTGATATCCCAGACAATAGCTGTTTTGGTTCAGAAATTGCATTTGTGAGCAGCCGGAAGCCATTAAGCCTCTCTAGCCTGTTCCATTATTCAACCTTATTCAACAAAGACATGCCTGATCTGTGACCTCATTCCATGAGATCTATCTACTAACAACCTTGGTTGATTTTTTAAAAAAATCCATCAAGATGTAAAATTAACAACCTTCCTTTCTTTGCACGCATCCTGGGATTGAACATCGCTGACTGGGCCAGCATTTATTGCACATCCTTAGTTGCTTTTGAGAAGGTGGTGGTGAGCTGCTGCCTTGATCTAATGTTGATTCCTGTTTGCAGAGAAGAATTCTAAACTTCTGCCACTTTGTGTAGAAGTGTTTTGTAACTCCACTCCTGAAAGGCCTGGCTTTAATCTGAAAACTGTCCCAGATTTTCAGATGCCCAAATCAGCACAATACCCCTCTATTTACCTAAAAATTTCTCTTCAGATCTTGAAACTTTGATCAAATTTGCCTTTGACCTAAATTCCGGGGAATACAATGAGCTTCAGTTATATTCTCCTAGCAGTTTGACCCTTGAGTTCATTTTGGTAAATCTACACTGCACAAGTTCCTATGAAGTCAATATCTCCTTCCTGAGGTGAGCTCAGTCCTTTAGGTGAGGTATAAATAAGGCTTTGTATAGCTAATGTGTATCTTCAAGCTGTTTGTATTCTACTCACGTGGGTATAAAAGCCAAGTATTTGATTATTTTCAGCCCCTCTTTGTGACTTTGTGATTATCAGTATATTTAGAAACTTGGGTGGCCTCTGTCTTTATTTCACCATTTTGGTAATACTTTGTTTCATCCCTTTTCAGGCCAAAATGGATGACCCCACCCACCACCACCCCCCCACCCCCCAACATTTCCTAATCGCTCAATCTATGTCTATTCCTTTTGTAACTTTTATGCTTTCTTTCATGCTCCTTACAACCCCAGCAACCTTTATACCATTAATAAACGTGAAGTTCTCAGTCTGTTACCCCTCCTTCAAACGAGATCAATACTTTGCCTTCAATTCGATAGTCTTGAAATTTTAGCAAGCAGTCTCTTATTAGGCATAAATTCCTCTGTTCAGTTCTGTAGTTACCTATTCAAACAT